GCGCCGAGGGGCTGCGCAGGCGCATTGGCCGCGTTGAAGCCGGCTCGGGGCTGCTTCCGCCTGGAGTTGTGGCGCTCTGCAGGGCTGGGGACGCCACAGCTGGGCTCACGGCGCTTCGAGCCGAGACGGTGCCCTGAGCTTCGACGTGCCCCGGCAGCGCTGCGCCCTCTGCTCCCGCTGCACCCGGGCCTGGGTCTGGGGCTAGGCCTTTCCCTGCCGCGGCCCGGGCAGCTCCTCTTGCCGGGGATGTCCCTCGGGAGGGGCCCTCTGCCCAGCCTGTTAGCGGGACTTAACCGGCGTTGCGAGGTCTGTAGCGTTGGGGTGCGGGGGGAGATCGCGTAGGCTGGAATCCTCATCCCTGGCTGGGATGATGTAGTTGGGCAGGGTCCGGCTTTGAGCAGCGGTTCTTGACCTTTTTTGTACCAGGACCTATTTGTAAACAGCAGTAGCTGGTCCCAACCCAGCGCCCCTCAGTACCCCCAGTGCGGGGGCGGGGGGGAAGCAGCCCCTCACAGGCAGGAGCTCTGCCAGCCGGCAAGGGAAAAGCCACAGCTTCCCACGCTTCTCCTGTAAAGGAGAATCCGTTTTTAAACTTTATTGATCCATTTTTAAAGTGTGTTTGCAACCCTTTCATATATTCCTGTGACCCACTTTTGGGTCGGGACCCATGGGTTGAGAAAAACTGGACTAGATGACCTCCTGAGATCCCTTCCAACCCTCCTTCTCTCTGATTCTGGTCTGCCTGGTAAAAATGACAGTTCTTAATGAAGGAATGTCTTACTGCCTGGCAAAAATGACAACTTTCTTAAGTTCCGGTTCTGGATACAATTCCCACATCCTCTTCCCAGGGAGGGATGAGCCTGCGGAGAGTACAACATTTTCCGTTTTAGTTCCTCTGCATACCAGACTCAAGAGCCAATCCTGGGAATTGTGGGGTGAGACCAGAGGGCAGCACAGGACTGAGTAATAATGCCGCATGCATCTCACAGACTGTCCTTACTTTGGAGGAGGTTACCACAAATTAAGTCACCAGAATACATGAAGACAATGGGCAAAATTTCAAGATACGCAGCCATGTTATTTGTCAGAGCAGTACCTATAATCATAAAAATAAGGGTTTGAAGGCACCTCAGGAGGTCACCTAGTCCAACCCCCTGCTCAAAGCGGGACCAGCCCCAGGTAGATCATTCCAGCCAGGGCTTTGTCAAGCTGGGCCTTAAAAACCTCCAAGGACAGAGATGGAGATTCCACCACCTAAAGGGCTAGTGCAAAAGTAAAAGGGGAACGTTGTGAGTAATGCATGTACGTGCCAAAAAATAAAAGGTCTTTGCTTAATCTTTATGCATTTTTAAAAGTCTTGCTTTGGTAAATCTATTTCAAAATGCCAAGGTAGCTAAAAGCTCAGGCATAGTCCAAACTGAATTAAAGCATTTTTTTATATTACACAGAAAAACAATCTGCCATTTTCACAAACATAATGGATTTGGTTTTTCACCCCATGCAGGGCCAGCAGCAGAAATGAAGGTAGCTGGAACCTGGCAGTAACTGGAAGAGAGACAGAGAAAGAGAGAGAAAAGAGAAACATGAAATAGGATGGGAGACTAGGGTGGTAGATGCAGTTTTGGTTACAGGCTGTAGGATTTGCTATTTCTGAGGGGAAAAAAAACAGTGCAGTCCTTAAATATATCATGGCCGCCGTTTTAGAAATTCAGTGGGGGCATTTAGTTCAAATACATGTCTTTCTCCTAGGATAAATACTCCTTGTTTTCGAACTTGGTTACTCCCAGCTTTACACATAAGGGGTGTCTTGGGCTAGAAACAGACATTGCTTTTTTCTCAAGAGAGATATCCCGGGATTGACATGTGCACACATCTCCCTTTGAATCATGGTTTAGTGAGTGGCTGAATGCCCTGCCACTTGTCAGCCAGATTTAATGATGCAATCTTAAACTAATCATTCAGATTCACGTTATGATGTCCATGGATAAGCTGTTAGTCTTTCTTATTCCGTGAACCTTTTTAAGGATTTAGCCCATGACAAATCTGACACTGCTAGTAGCCTTCTAGTCTTCTTGATCTTGAGCTTCCTTTATCCTCTAGTCTAAGGGCTCTTTTCTTCACCTGTCACCAACTGCAAACCCCAGTCCTTAAATAACTTTTCTCCAGTTTTGCAAAATGAGGACTGTATCAACAAGTTTGAATATGAATATAACATTTAACATTTTGATCATGGAGTCTCCCACTCTTTTAAGGCTTTGCATAGTAGACATTAAGTGTTATGCTAAAAAATCTAAACTATTCATTGTAAAATTCTGGTCCAGAAATCTTATGCTTATGATACCTTTATTTAGCCGTACTTCCTACTTTTTCATTAAAAGAGAAACTGAAGGAAATAGGTACTACCTCTCTTTTCTTCACAAATTGAAGTATAGAATGCCGTTTGGTACAAATGCTTATTTTCAGTTAGGTGTATGCCAAAGACAGGATCTGGAAAGTATACAAGCAGTTACATCAATGATTTCACATGGCCTCCTCTTTCTAGTCTCCAGAGGTGTTAAGTGTTGGGTGGCAGTAGTTTCTAGGACCCTAACTATTCATATTTCCATTTTATCATCAGGAAAACAAAGCGCTAAGAATTCCCCATGGCATGCAAAAGCATTTAAAAAGGCACGTATTAAAATCTGCGGTAAAGTTCCATTAGGGTCACATCACACAAATTTGCACATACAATCATAGGAAAGCAGGGCTGAAAGGGACTCCATAAGGTCATCTAGTCAACCCCCTGTTCAAGGCAGGCTTGTCCCTCATTAAACCATCCAAGCCAAGTATTTGTCAAACCTTGAAAATTTCCAAGGATGAAGATTCTACAACTTCTCTCGGTTTTTGATTGCAGCTGTGTTGGTCTAAGGACATAGGCAGGCACGGTTCTGAGTAGATGTGATATCTTTTATTAGACCAACTGTTGGTCTAATAAAAGATCACATCTGCTCGGACTTCTCTAGGTAACCTCTTCTGATGCTTGACCACCCTTATAGAAAGCTCCTCCTCATCTCTAACCTAAATTTCCTCTGCTGCAGCTCGAGTTCATTGCTCCTAGTTCTGTCCTCTATGGCCACAGAGAATAGTCTGTTTCCATCCTCTCTAATTGCCTTTCAGGTATTTAAAAACAGTATTACCAAACCCTCCCCCCACTCCCCCAAGCTTCTCTTCTCCAGACTAAATAACCTTAGTTCTTTAAGCATTTCCTTGCAAGTCATGGTTCCCAGGCCTCTAATCATTTTTGCCACTCTCCACAGGGATCTTTCTAAACTGCCTACAGCCTTCTTGTGTGGGGCCCAAAACTGGACACAGTACTCCAGGTGAGGCCTTACCAGTGCTGAATAGAGCAGAAGAGTCACTTCCCTTGACTTGCACATAAGGAACCATCTTCAATTAAAAAAAAATTAAACATGGTCTTCAATTAAAAAAGTTTTCAATTTTAAAGATAAACATCCCTGCATATTGCCATTAAATCAGTATATACATGTTAACCTGGGGAAAAGAGTAAATACAGCAAAGGATGGAGATAAAGTAAAGAGGACAGTAGCAAATGTTTTCCCTGCTAGATACTGACATGGTTTGCACTTGTAGCATCCAACTTTTTGCCCCAGCAGGCTGAATCCTATTTTCTGGCCATGCACCTAAATCTGGCTATACACTGGTACAATCTAGTGTGCAACACCATGTTATCCCATGCCCATGGGGTTCTCCATGGGTCCAATGAACACTGCCACTGCTCCCTGGCTGCCTAATTTCAATACTCTTGGGAAGCCCCATGAGCTGGATGACATGGTGACCAGGTGGATGGCAGAGGGTGGGACTATGAAGAAGAAGAGAGGAGCATTAGGAGTGGAAAAAACAAAACAATTTACCCATGAAATTATCACATCTCTAATGGGAAAGAAAAAGTTCACACAGGGCTAAGATAGCAGGCAACTCTTTGAAATTAGGATACTGACAAACAAAGCAAGTTTAAAACTGAGCAGGGACTTTATTACCATGTTCCAACAATCCTCATAACCAGGGATCCTGGTTTTCTCTGATTTAAAAAAATCCCCAATTTTAGTTAAAAAAAATAAAAAAGTAACCCTAAATTCACGTTTTCCCATGATTTAAATAAAACACCACTAATATACATATATATATAGCAATATTTCATTTTAATCATAGAAAAATGTGGATTTGGGCTTACTTTTTTTAACTGAAAATTGGGGATTTTTTTTAAATCAGAGAAAACCAGGATCCCTGTTCATAACATACCCTGCTACAGGAATAGCTTATACAATCATGGCTGCAAGAAGAGAAAATAACAAGCAGATGAGGTGTAGCTGAAATAGACTTTTACAGATTATATACTCTTTCATTAACTGAAATCCCTACCTGCTTTTACATTGTGTAGAGCTTTTTACATCAAACAAACCAACTGCATAGGGACAGTCAGTTTTCTATAGTAATTACATCTGTCAATTTCATTCTTATTATAGGTAACCCCTGAGATTATAACTGAATGAGAAGATTATTCCTATTTTTAATTTTTTATTAGATACCATTTAGAGGAGAGAGTTACACATTCTTAGGTCTTTGAAAAAAATAGGTTCTCACCAATAACACCAGGCGCAGAGCTGAAATGGAGAGTGCAGAGGCAGCAGTCGTAAGAGAATACAGTGAATGAGAATTTGAAGGGTAATTAAAATAGGGAGCTAGAAACCAGCAAGTTATTTATGAAGATTTTTTTTTTAAATTTCAAGACAAGACACTATAGGAAAGCAGAAGCTGCAAAGCAGGTTTTTTTCAGATTAGCAAGTTCACAAAATACCTTAGTTCTCAGTATCTCTGCAAAAATAGTCCTAGAATTTGTGATAAAATGCATGCTACCTAGCGCACTGCCTCTTCCGGAGTAAGAGCTAGAGATAGAAGAAAATTAATTCAAACTACTACACACTGCAGAAACCAACAGCAAGTATTTTCCTTATTTTTATTACTGTTTTTTCTGATTTTACGTTCTCAAATATTTGTTACTGTAATGCAGTAGCTGGGCAGGGTAAAGGCTCTCCTCCAGCTAGACACAAGTGGCACAGATCCAGACAGATCATTCACATGCACCATCACAACCAGCCATACAACCCTCTCTCCATTTACCAATATACATATATAACTCTAGTTATGTATAAACACACAATGGATCAGTATCTCCATCGGCAGGTATGTGTATGCAGTGTAGATGTTAACTGTCCATTTTTACAAGTGCTGTGATGCTTTCTTTCCAAATAAAATACTTCATTAAAAAAAAAGAGAATGCACAGAGATAAGGTATGGATGGGCCAGCTCTGACTGTATTATGCAGGCCTAACAATGACACATCTCCAAATCCAGTGCCAGAGAACAGTCACATTATAGACAGCAACACCAACCAGTTCAGAGACCATGAATGTGAAAGGGCTTCATTTAATGTATCAATCCTAGAGGCACCCCCTGGGAAAGTCCAACTAGCTATAAAATTGTCATATACCTTCAAGGGTCTTTACTTTCTACTTATATCAGTAGACTTCTGTGTGCTTATTACAAAATGGCAATGAAGATATCTCCTCTGTCAACTGCTAAGCAAGTCTGCAGAGCCACTCAGCATTGTCTTTACTTGCAGAGATCATGCAGTTACTTATGAAATGTCTCCTTACTAGGTTTATGCCAGTCAGACCTAGAGAAGAAGGCTCTTAACTGGCTTTTCTCGTGGGAGTGGGAACATTTTTCAAGCAGCATGGACAAGTTTAAGTCAGATAAGAAACAACATTCCTACTAGTGCAACATTTTCTAGACATTAAGCCGTCTTCACTTTGTGCGTGCGCTCGTGTCTCCTCAAAGAGCCTGATTCTGTGAAGTCTTGAGCACAGTAAGCACAAGAATAGGGTTTTTCTCCAGTATGGATGCGTTGGTGCCGCTGTAGAGAAGCTAGACGTGTGAAGGTCCCTCCACACTCCTCACAGTAGAAAGGGCGTTCTCCAGAGTGAGTTTTTTGGTGTCTTTTCAACCTGAGCAGCTGAACAAAGGACTTCCCACATTCTTGGCATTCATATGGCTTGTCCTGCCGGTGGATCACTTTATGTTTGGACAGCAGATTAGGTTTATGAAAACCTTTGCCACATGTTGGGCAGATGTAAGGTTTAGACTGTCCTTCTCCAGGCTTTTGATCGGCTGCACATTGCTGATAGGTATCTCCACCGCTTTGGTTCCTGTGCACGGAAGAACATGGGTTCCTAACCATACCATTCCCCAAAATTTTTGAACGCTCAATCTTGTGTACATTGCGTAGGTGCCTCCAGACATCTGCTGTGCGGATAAAGCCTTTGTCACACTCTGGACACTTGTGTGGCCTGTCACTAGAATGAATGAGCATGTGCATTCGCAAGTTTGCAGTTCGGAAGAACTCTTTGCCGCAGATTGGGCATTGGTATGAATTCTCTGTTGGGTGAATCTGCTGGTGTTCCTGTAATTCACTAAAGTCCTGGAAAGCGGTACCACACTTCTTGCATCGATAAGCTTCTCCAGAGATTGGGTCCAGTTCCTCCTCATTGAAAGCATCAATAAGAATGATGTTTTCATCATCCTCACTTAGTCCACCCTGAGGTTCCTCAGAGTGCTCTGAGGAATACAGTTCCAGATCCTCATCTTCACATTGCAGGTCAAAGTTGGTGCTGGAGGTGA